GATTAAACATCTGAGGTTGACAGTATGGCCTAAACAGCTTCTCATGTGTCTGATCTGACCCTCCATCACGAAAAAAACTTGATACACTAAGGGCGAACCATACATGTACATCAAGCATCTATTCTTGATTCTTTTAATATACATCTTCTTTTCAAGGAGCACTCGAATTGCCCATTCTTGAGATTTTCTGAACGTGCGCTCTTTCGCTAGCCATTGAAGATCCCTACCGATTGGCTTGTTGGTCAGTTGGTTGGTTGGTTCGTTAGTTAGCCTAGCTAACCGGGCTGGCTTCACCTCTAGCGCCGTTTGCATGTCGTGGGTGGTTGGCAGGCTAGCGGATAGGCTTTCATTCTGGCCGTTTGGATGTGTAGGGGGGCGGTGATTATGGTGGGTGGAGTGCGTAAGCTGATGGAAGAACGCGTTCGACACTGAATCACGTAGCTGATTGGTGCGTGCATGGGACCAATGCGGTGACGACAGACTCCATGACTCATCGCCTCTTCCACCACGTCGCTCTCTAGTTGGTTCCTGCGTTTGTGCACGCTTGCGTTCGCCTGACGCTCGTGTTTGCGCGCTTTTTTAGATCCACCCTATGCTGGCCTGCCGTCGCATGTACTGCTTCTGCTCCCCTGCGACAAGGGAGAGGAGGTGGGCTGCGTGTACCTTCAACCACATTAGGGTCGAGCGGCAAGCTCAGACCCTTTTAACATTATCGGCATTGCATACCTGATGCCTCGGTTTTCCCAACTTTGGGAGTTGCCGGTGGCCTCCAGCTACCCATTACTGAGCAAGACTAACCAAAACTCAAAATATGTATGGGCGATTAGGCCCATTAAGCATTAGTGGGCTGTTGTGGTTAGACCTCTCAGATCTTGAAGGTGCATGTGATAATTCAATCTCCAATCTCGTTATGCCCTAGTATGTGGTCATTCCTTCACAGGCTGGAAATGGTAAGGACTAAATCGCTTCAAATAGTAATCTCACTGGCAAAGAACGCCACTGTAAATTCGAAGATATTTTGAATTCTAGTTACTCTCGTTCTGCTGGGCTATGACGAGAGGGCTGTACTGGACCCTGATATGGATACGTGTTTCGGGTCTTTGGCAAATAGTGTGTAATGGACGGATAATCGTTTGTTTCTCACATCCTAAATCGTGTTTATGCGATCTTACTTCCCTCTGGTGCATAAGAGAACTTTTTTGGCACTCGGCTGATGCTGAAGGTATGGCTTACCTCCTACTTCCTAATCATAGCGTCCTGGACCGGCCTACGTTACGGCTGCCGCGGCCGCAGCTGCCTACTGGAAGCGATTGGAGGCGGTCCAACTCTTTCCGCCGGGCTGCGTAGAGGCCACACCGATCGATGCGAGTCGTCGAAAGCGGTTCCGAATAAAGGATCTTGGTTAGCTACATTCTCTGTGAAATTGACCAGGCGTAAATTGTCTACGCGTCAGTTTGCGTCAACTAGCACCTGAACTTATGTTTCTACGTTTAACTAATCATGTTGTAGGCATTATTACGAAACATCTCTAAAGTCTAGTTAATGATGTAGAAGCAGTGGGAAATACAGGCGTCTTCCTTATTATTAAGGCTATCTATGGAAACCAGTGGATTTTGGCAGTAGAATTATTTGTAGTGTTATGGTCAACTTTATGAGTGGTGACCTGAGAGACTGTTCATTGTTAAAGGGTGATCAAAGAAGCTTTTCGCTTCTCTCCTGTTCACGTTGATTCAGATACGTTGCTCTTTATTACACGAATTAAGAAAGGTGAATTTCCCCCTAACGGGGTCTCATTTTCAATCCAGTTATTATACTTGCTAAATTAAAATTTCTGATTGCAACCTAGTCAATGTGTATTACGACTGCTATCGATAAGTTGTCACCTTTGCCTTTTATCTACCTTTTTACACCCACGAATAGGCGAGTGACAGTTCTTTATGCACATCATCACAAGCACGGAACGCTTCCTCATCGATCGATTTGAAGGGAAAGATTATCATTTTCTTTGTTTTAATATGTTGAGTCCTACGAGACGTCACGCTATTTTCAGCTTCTTAAACACCTGTGTTGTGCTCCAATGGTACCGCTGTCAAGTTTTCATCTAATTAGGGAAGTCGCACTTGTGTGTGGGCGTGTGTGCGTAGTGTGGTAGGAATGAATCAAGTTGCTACATCTGCAGGTCGAACGGATTGTAACAATTGTGTTTGCGCATCTATGGAGAATGTCGCCTTTTCTTGTGCCCAATTGTCACCATACTCCTCAATCTTTCGTCTGCAGGTCCATTAACTGCATCAAAGTTGGTGATGGCGCTTCGTTCTGGTCTGCCCAGCGAGACGACCTGGGCACTTAATGCCCTCAACGTCATTCTTCGGGATGAGCCCAATGCTCTGGAGGCATACTTCGCACCACCTACCCAACAGCCTCTCGTGTCCATCAACGCTAACGCGCCCACCCTCACTACTTTGATCACTGCGCTCACTGATCATCTTCGTCACGACGCCAACGAGCTCTTTCCTTCTCATCGCCTCACCTCAGAACTCGAATTGCCTCTGCATCTGGACGTGGAGAGTCCGTCGACGTTCAGAGCTCCTATCGCCTCAGCAGATCCCCCGACCCTTGACATCCAGACTTCTTTTTCATCGCCGACATCTACGACCAACCGCGTAAATATTTTCACCGACCTCTTCAACGAAGTCTCCGGCAGGTGTCGTTGCCTCCGTGCACGAAATCATCCTTTGCCTCCTAATGGACTGGCTAGTTTGGAGCGTGAAATCGTCGCTGTGGCCAACTCTAAGGGAGTGTCTGTAAGTACACTGCGAGACGCCATTCGACAACTGCTCCAGGGCTCTGGCAAGAATAGTCGACTCCTAATGAAGGCTTCACCACCAAAATTACCCAAAACAACGCCCTCTGTGGATTCTGGTTCGGATAAATCTGGTGCCTGTGCTGGCAGCGGAATTCCTTTAAACAAACGGGGACGTGGTCGTGGAACTGGCACTTCTTTGCTGGCTGACCATTTGACAGTTTTCGAGGCTGCTCATACAAATCCTGTGGCAACTGTACCGAAACATACCACCTCTCTTTTCGTCAATAACCTCTCAGGGCCCGAAGCTCGATCCAACATTCGACGATTGGCTCTCTTTGCGTTAGACGAGCTTCTAGAAGGCAAGGAGTCACCCCCACCGGTTCTTCTACCAGCCGACGTTGCAGCTGAACCTGCTTCTCCACCTGCCTCCCCTCGACCTCCATCAATGAGGGATGTCTTTATGCGAGGTGGCTCCGACTCTACCTCCTACATACTTCCTCATCCTAGCGGTTGCGGAGGAAGTACTTACAATGGCGCCGCTAGCGGCACTTCCGTGAAAAGAAAACGTACCAACTCGTCTACCGAGGCCTCCTCGACTTTGATCAAGGCGTCGAAGAGAGCTCGTTCTTCATCTTCGTCTTCCTCCCTTCCCGTTCTCTCACCTCACAAAGTGGATTCCTCCACTGATAAGGTAGATATTGCTTCGACTCCAGCGGTAGAGGCAATGGAAGAAGACGAAGACAGCGAGTTGAATAGTCATCGCTTGATGACGGACTCGCGAGGTTATTGTCCACTTCGTGCACGTTCGGAAATAATCCGTCGTGGTGACTTGGCCCTTTGGCCTGTCGACGCAGCTTCGGAGAGAGCAGAGGGTTTTGCGCTGCGGTGTTTATGCGTCTCAACGGTACTTCGTAATTTGTCCTTTTTACCGTCTTGTGAGCGTGTTCTTGCCAGCCACAAGGCCCTTCTTGCACTTGCCGGTCGTCTTCTAACTGTAGCGCACACCCACTTTGAATCAGGAAGCGCTGATTGGGCTTGTGTGGAGGATCACATGGCTCGCTATGATTCCAGCTCGGCCTGGTGGATGCCGTGGTTGGATGAGTTGTGCGAAAACATCCTTGTCCTCCTCGTCAACATATTGGGTCATCTGCAATGTCTTCCTCTTCACGAGAGCATCGTGCGTCCCTTACTTGAGGGTCTAGTTCATTGGGCTACCTGTCAAACTGCTGCTGCAACCGATCCTCTTCCTGGTCATCGAATCATCTCCCCTTGTCGTTTGGCCCTCGAGGCGCTCAATCGACTTGCAGTTAATGACACTAACGTTGCCATGTTACTTGCAACGATGGACACTGATAGTGCTTGTCGCCTCTTTGATCGTCTCGCTGCTTGGCTGGCACTTCCAGAGGATCAGGTGACGAGGGAGTTGGCACTCTCCACGCTTCACTATTTGTCAGAACCTCCGGTGAGCATCTGCCAACAACAAGTTGATGGTAATAACACCTCCACCTATGGACTATCCATGATTGCCCAAGCGAAGCCCTGCCCCATTGCGGGTCTAATTTCCTTCATTGAAGTCATGGAGACAAAAACACGTAGAGTGATCGAGCAGTACGGTGTTCAAGTGTTGCAAGATCAGCCAGAGTTGATGGGGACGTCATTGGAGTTATTGAGACGTGCTGGTGCCTTGTTAGAACGTTTGGCGGCGAATTCTTTTGGGCGAAGTAGATTCACTCCCGATTTAGAGATGCGGGTTCTAGGGTTGGCGACCTCACGTGTGCTGGATGCAACAGTAGCCCAACTGCTCTCTGGATGCCTTTTGGATCTGCCCCAACGAGACAGTCACTCCATCGCAATCTGTGAACTCATTCCGAAGATGCCTTCTTCGGAGAAAGTGGCGAAACTTCTAGCGCCTCTGCAGAAGAAGGAAGACGTGTCCGCTAGGGCAGCGTTGCAGAAAAATGTGGAAAAGGAAGCAGAAGAATCGAAGACGTTGCAACAAGAAGCATCATTTAGAGATGGATCGTCGTCCACTAAGGCAACACAGGACGAGAATGAAGGATTGGTGACGAACAAGGAGTCTCATGAGTCCCCCAAAGCGACGGTGAATCCGGAACTGGTAGCCACTGTATAGAGACCTCCCTACTCTATTGATTTTTCCCGTTTTCTCTCTTTACCCTCCCAATGTGTTTTTGTAATGTTTCGTGTGTGAACAAGCATCAACACGAGACCTCCTGTGTATAGCCGAATCTCCTTTTCTGATCCACCGCGTTGAACAATGGCGTTTTATGTGTGCTCCTCTCCACTCCACCGCTAAGTTGCCGAGTGTTTTATTTTGGTGCTGGAGATGATAACATTTCACACATTCATCCTGTCTTTTCTCTTTCTTCCTCCTACGGGCACCTCAGCGAGATTTGACATTGCTGCTCCCTCTCTAACTGCGCCAACGTGCAAGATGTTTTTCCCAGTGTTGGTTTAGATCTTGCGTATAGCAGGTCTTTTCTGCCGTCTCCCACCCGGCCCAACCACCCGTCCACATACCCCATTGTTCTTTCCCACCACACTCAATACTTCCCTTGAAATGTATGCATTTCACACACTGGCAATGAAGCGGTTTTGTTATTGACTCGTGCGTGTGCGTGTGTAATTACAGCCACTCTCCCATTTGTAAGGGAGTGGTGGATCTATACTTAAAGTACAGAAAGTATATATATCTATGTATATATATATATACATATATATCTGAAAGGTTTGGTTTGCTCAACCCATTTGATTAAGTTCTCGACTCCGGAGTGTGAGGTACTCGTCAGGCCTGCTAAATATGTCTAAAACTTGCGCAAAGCGAGTGAATGGCACTGTGAAGACAGTGGGTTTGCAAAAGGTGTCGGGGAAGGTGGGGGCGGCTGCCAACACAGCATCTCGGGATTGATGAGTTGGGTGTTTGTCTCTTCTACGCCAATTCATAAGGGGACGAGTGGCGGAAGTCCGCATCTCCTTTCCCCAAAGTAGGATCTCGCCAGTCGCTCACCAGATTTCTAACATCAGTTTCGGACTGTATCAGTCGGGTTTTCGCCATCTGTGTGTGCTGCTACTTGATATTGCAACGTACTCTAGCAAGAGTAGGGCCAATAGAAGTAGATGGGATATGATGGGCTCGATGAAGATAATTCGACAAGGAGTTTCGAATCTGTTATCTATGTTAGACTGTAAGGTGGTCGATTTCTCTGTTTTTATCTAAATTTTCTTAAATCTTGTGGTTCTGACTCGCTGCGACAAATTCTTTCGGCAAAGACGGGATTTTTTGGTCTTTGACAGTATGTGAAAGGCCGTGTTTCGAACTTTTCAATAGAGCCTTGATCAAAGTTGGAGTTACTGCAGGCGGTTATTAAGGGCTTATTTAACCCTGGTGTTTGGACGGATAGTCGGCTGTCGAGTAGTTATAGTAAATAAAAAGACAGGCTATTTGAAGCGACTCTAACTCTATGCTATATCTTTAAAGTACGAGCAAGAAGTTCTGAAATAGGCAATGGAGTGCTATGTTTAACTACTCAATCCACAAGACATCGCGCAATTTGGTCTGTTTTGGACCTTAAAAAACGCAATTAATTAGATTTGCAATAAAATAATTTTAAATGTGTATAAGGCTTCTTTTAGCAGCGCTTTTTACTTTACGATACTCGTTTAATATCAATTGTTTGGATAACTTAAATTTGAAATGATGGCCTTCAGAGGCAGCAGGTGAAAGCGCGTGAATTTGAAGGTTTGGTGTCGGACGTGTTTCTCGTGTGGTCATGACATCACAATGCATACTGGCTTGATGCTCGGTAAGTTAAACACTCTGCTTTTGTTGTTTTAATCAAAACTGAAATATGAACAGGTGAGACATCAATAATTTTCTAAAACTATAAGACGTTATGAATGATTTTGACAAGAAATGGGTTTAAAAGCTACAGAAGACCAATGTTTTGATGAGGCACATTTGTTTTGAACCAATAATTGGATGTGGTGCAAAAGCTTGGATTTTATTTGAATTCGAACTACAGATTCTTTCTTCGAGTAATTTCGGAGTTTTGTGTGGAAGATTCTACTGAGTTTCTACTCGCAGTTTGTGTGCGGACGCACTCTGCTATCCCGTATTATATGCTTTGAATTGGTTATTCGCTTGCAACTATTGTGGTATTAGGCGCATATCTTCCATATTCTCGCATGACTTTATGGGACGCACCTAATGCCTCTTCCACAGCTTTCATTTGATTGTTGAGTGGACATGGAGTTCATTTAGCCTTGTTTGATTTTGCTTATATGTTTTATGCAGCCTCCATTTTTCATTCAAACGATTTCTAGGCAGTGGCTGCACATGAGTCACATTACTTTTTCCTGAATATTATTAAAGCTTACCGCGAAATTCACCTTTTATGATAACAAATTCATCAGAATGATATGCAAGTGGGCATGAGTGTGTAGTTTGGCTACTTTGTGCAGGCGATCTTGCGCTTCACCAACTTTTCTTACTTAGTTTTACCCAAAACTATCTTCCACGGCTCTGGAATCGAGAATTTGTATCACCAGCTGACGAATTTGAAAGAATCGCTTATGATTTAACAACCTGCGTATTCATTATTTTCTTAGTTACCTTTAGTTTGTGTTTTTTGATATGAGATTAGAAGGCGGCTAAACACTCTATTTTTTGCTCGTTTTCAAAAAGCAATTGAGTTTGAGCTTTAAAAGCAGATTTGTGCCTCTTGACCTTCGAAAATATCACTTTTTTGAGCAACTTTGTGTTCTTCCATAGGAGAGTTGGTGTGGGGGGTGTTGGTGTCCACAAATCGCTAAGGTAGGGGGAGGAGAGGGCGCGTCAAGCCGCAAACCGAACCTCGTGATAGTATGAGTCATCGCATCGACGTCTACACCGCAATGATTATCTTTCCAACGGTGTCTCAATTAAATTACTGACTCTCACTAACCCACGCACCTGCAAAAGCGTTTATAGACTACTTAATGGCATAAAAGGTACATTATGAAAGGCGAAGCTGATCGTTAAAATGAGAGGCTGGATAAATTTATGCATTTTACTAATCCTACACTCCAACCGTGGTAATTTGGACTCCTCATTAAGGCGATTATAAATTCCTGTATGCTCCTTTGATTAAAAATGAGGGAAATAATGGTAGTAGGATGCACGTCGTTTTGTCTTCATTAACGGAAAGTGCATACGAAATTGCCGTTGAGATTTTATTTTGCTTGAAGTAGGCATTGGTTCAAAGGTTATGTGGGACGGCACCGCCAAATGCGCATGTTTAGCGGTGAATTCCCCTCAAAACGGAATTTAATAGGTTCAGAGAGGACAAGATTGAGGAATTTGTGTAAGATGGAAGCGGTTGAGGAGGCTCCATACAGGTGGCCCATTCTGTAATTCATTTGTCCGTTCATCCATTCAGTCACTTATTCAGCCACTCCTTTGGCCATCCATCCACCCACCTGTCTACTGCAGACACGTCTGTCCACTTACTTGTTTCCAACGTTGTCTATTCATTAAACTCAAATTTCTCCATTTCTCGACAGTCCTTCTTCCACACTACTCATTCCTGCTTCGTTTATCCACCTCCTGGACTTGTTAACCACCGCAACTAGAAAGTACCACACAGTGCTTGTACACTACTTGTAAGGTACAATAGTTTCGTTCGTTTTGTTATTTTTGCACTTTACTGTGCAAGTAACTGTTAAAGTGACAATTTTTTCAATGACTGTCCTTTGCTTAAAGGAGTCTAAAAAATGTTGGTACAATTTCACCAATGTGCGTCTCTTTTACCGCCTATCCTTCTGCTTTGCTATGGTCAAATTGTGCACGTGGATGGTTTTACTCTCACTCCTTGTGAATGTATAATTTTCACGATTTTGGGCTACTACTGATTTGGGTTGTGTTGTCTTTGCTCAGTGCAATATCATGCAATTACACTTTTCTTGTCACTTTCACCTGCATTTCTGCTTACCAGTTAGTTGAGAAGTTGGTGTTATTGGGGGGGTGGACAGTAAATTCGAAACTCCTCTCACATTCCTGTCACTTGCGTCAGTGATAGATGCTTTATGAGGTGGTAAGTAAACATTCCCTTATGAAATAACTTCTTGTCAGCTCTGGGAAGGAGGTCATAAAAGCATTTTTTAGTGCCAATCATTAACGACTGGGCGCATAATTTAAGTCTAACTTTCTGCTATAAAAACCAGGAGGTTGTTTGGTTTTTTTTTCTTTAAATTGTTTGCTTATCAAGGGCTGCCCCAAGTGTCTGGACGTCGATGAATAACATTTAATTGAGAATTGAATA